TTCAACTGGTCGTGCAATGCTGTACCCAAACTTTCTTTTGGTGGTATTTGATCACCTGTGTGGTTTTTACTTTTAGTGCTATAAACGAAAAAAGACAGAAAATTTTGACAAAAAAAACTATATTTTTCACTTTTGGTTCTAAAAAATATCCAATAAAAGGATTTTGCAGAGAGGCATGTTGAGTCTATAGAACATTTTATTTTTTGCCACAAATTTTTTGAAAATGACAATTTTTTATTTATTTATTTTACACAAAGTTGTCACTGTAATGATATATTGCTCATGCCTGCCATGGCTATATGTAGAATAACACCCCAAAACACATTCTTCTACTTCTCTCGAGTATGGGGATACCACATGTGGGAGACTTTTTGGCAGCCTAGCTACATACAGGCCCCCAAAATCCAATGACCACCTCCAGGCTTTCAAAGGACTTATTTCCTCATATCACTTCCCCACTACCTATCACAGTTTAGGAGGCTCTAAAATGCCAGAACAGTACAAAACACCCCCCCCCCCCCCCCCAAATGACCCATTTTTGGAAAGTAGACACTCCAAGGTATTTGCTAAGAGGGATGGTGAGTATTTTACAGATGTCATTTTTGTTACGGGTTTTAAGAAAGAAAAGAAAAAATACATTTTTGTTTTCTTGCTTCGTTTTCCAAAAACGTGACAACTAATGAGATCTGCAAAATACTCACCATGCCTCTTAGCAAATATCTTGGAGTGTCTACTTTCCAAAAAGGGGTCATTTGGAGGGGTTGCTCCTACTATCCTGGCATTTCATGGCCAACATTAGAAGCTTATGCCACACACCACCCATTCTCGAAGACCAAACCTTTTCTGACACTTTTTGTTAACATGAAAAAAGTGTTTTTTTTGCTGGAAATTACTTTGAACCCCAAAACATGATATAGTTTTTAAAGCAGAGGCCCCAGAGAATAAAACGGTGGGTGTTGAAATCTTTTACGTCCCACAGTATTTGGGCAGCGATTTTTTTCAAACAAAAATCTTTTGGGAAAAAAATACATTTTTACATTTTTTACAATTTTAGTGCACAAAAACACAATATATTGCCCAATTGTTTGATAAAATATAAAAGGTGATGTTACGGCAAGTAAATAGATACCAAACATGACATGCTTTAAAATTGCGCCTGTCCGTGCAATGGCGACAAATACAGTGGGGCAAAAAAGTATTTAGTCAACCACTAATTGTGCAAGTTCTCCCACTTAAAAAGATGAGAGAGGCCTGTAATTGGCATCATAGGTAGACCTCAACTATGAGAGACAAAATTAGAAAACAAATCCAGACAATCACATTGGCTGATTTGGAAAGAATTTATTTGCAAGCAGCTTGGTGTGAACAAATCAACTGTGGGAGCAATAATTAGAAAATGTAAGACATACAAGACCACTGATAATCTCCCTCGATCTGGGGCTCCACGCAAGATCTCCCCCTGTGGGGTCAAAATGATCACAAGAACGGTGAGCAAAAATCCCAGGACCACACGGGGGGACCTAGTGAATGACCTGCAGAGAGCTGGGGCCAACGTAACAAAGGCTACCATCAGTAACACACTGCACCGCCAGGGACTCAGATCCTGCAGTGCCAGACGTGTCCCCCTGCTTAAGCCTAGTACAGGAACTTATAATTCAGTGAATGGTAATACTGGTGCTGACAGAAGACCAGCAGGGATTCTACTCCCAAGTGTTTCTGCTGGGAAAACCTTCAGGAAACATCCATCTAATTCTCAATATAAGACAGCTGAACAAAACATTTCTATACAAAAAATTTCACATGCACTCCCTCTTTAAAGTAAGGAATCTCCTTGGCATTGATTGAACTAAAGGACGCCCACCTTCACATTGCAATTTGTCATCGATCACAGAAAGTTCCTAAGGCTAGTGATAAGATCTGGAGATCAGGTAGTGCATCCCCCCTATGAGTATTCATGGAAATAATGGCAAAAGCTCTGGCACCTCTGAGCCTGAGAGGGGTAGCAGTGATTCCAGTGATCTGCAAATACTCACCATGCTTCTTATCAAATTTCTTGGGGTGTCTACTTTCCAAAAAGGATCATTTGGTGGGGCTTGGTGCTATCCTGGCATTCCAGGGCCTCCAAAACTGTGATAGGTAGTCAGCATGTGTAATGAAGAAATAAAGCCCTTTAAAAGCCTGAAGGTGCTTATTGGATTTTGGGGTCCTGTACTTGGCTAGACTGCCAAAAAGTCTCTCACATGTGGTACCCCATACTCATACATGTCACATAGTACTCACGCAGCGATTTTTCAAATGCAAATTTTTTGAAAAAAAAAAATACACTTTTTTTACATTTAATGCACAAAAACACAATATGTTGGCCAATTATTTGATAAAATATTAAAGATGATGGTATGTCGAATAAATAGATACCAAACATGATATGCTTTTAAAACCGTGCATGCCCCATGCAATGGCGACAAACTGCATACATTTTTATTATCCATAGGCAATGCTTTACCATTTTAGATTTAAAGAGGAGGTCTAGTGCTAGAATTACTGCTCTTGATCTGACATATGCAGCGATACCTCACATGCATGCGCAACCACTGTTTGCATACTGACACAGGGTCAAAACGTGCGAACTCAGGTGCGTGTGTTTTTTTTTTTTCTGTAAATTATTTAGATTTTTTTTATTATTTTTACACTGTCCCTTTCATTTTTTTTCATAATTTTTTACGCTATTACAGGGAATGCAAATATCCCCTATAACTTCAATGGGCATTGTCTTATATTCTTTTTTGAGAAATCTGGGGTCTATCATACTCTAGATATCTCCTCTGCCCTTACATTATCTAATCTCACCAAGATCGGTGTGATCAGATGCTTTCCCAATTTACAAATGGCGCTGTTTAGTGGGGAAAATAATTATTAGATCCCCTGCAGATTTTGTAAATGTGCCCACTTACAAAGAAATGAAGGGTCTATAATATTTATCATAGGTGTATTTTAAATGATAGAGACAGAATATCAGCCAAAAATCCAGAAAAAAAAACACATAATACAAATGTTATTAATTAAGTTGCGGTTCAGTGAGTAAAATAAGTATTTGATCCCAAAGCAAAACATGACTTAGCACTTGGTGGAGAAACCCTTGTTGACAAGCACAGAGGTAAGATGTTTCTTGTAGTTGATTACCAGGTTTGTACACATCTCAGGAGGGATTTTGGTCCACTCTTCTATACAGTGGTTCTTTTTAAGGTTTCTTGGCTGTTACTTGGCAACTTGAAGTTTTAGCTCCCTCCATAAATCTTCTTTAGGATTAAGGTCTGGAGACTGGCTAGGCCACGCAATGTCCTTAATGTATTTCTTGAGCCACTGCTTTGTTGACTTGGTGGTGTATTTTTGATCATTGTCATGCTGGAAGACCCATCCATGACCCCTCTTCAGTGTTCAGGCTGAGGGAAGAAAGTTCCAAGATTTTACAATACATGGCCCTGTCCATTGGCCCCTCAATGCAACAAAGTTGGCCTGTATCAGCAGAGAAACAGCCCCAAGGCATAATGTTTCCACCTCCGTGCGTGACTGTAGGGATGGTGTTCTTATGACCATAGTCAGCATTTTTCTTCCTCCAAACACAGTGAATCAGGTTAATGCCAATAAGCTCAATTTTTGTCTCATCTGATCACAGCACTTTTTCCCACTCATTCTCTGAATCATTTAGATGTTCATTGGCAAACTTCAGACAAGCCTGTACATGTGTCTTCTTAAGGAGGGGAACCTTGTGGGCACTGCAGGATTTCAGTCCATGGCAGCGTATTGTGTTACCAATGGTTTGTTTGGTGGCTGTGGTCCCAACTGCCATGAGATCATTCGCAAGCTCCTTCCTTGTAATGATCCCTCAGTTTTCTTATGATCATTCTTACCCCATGAGGCAAAATCTTGCATGGCGCTCCAGACCAAGGATGATTGATGGTATTTTGTATTTCTTCCATTTGTGAATAATCGCTCCAACAGTTGTCTCCTTCTCACCATGCTTCTTGTTGATGGACTTGTAGCCCATTCCAGCCTTGTGCAGATCTGCAATCTTGTTTCTGATGTCCTTTGACAGCTCTTTGGTCTTGCTCGTGGTGGTGCTCAAGAAAAAAAGATTCTGTGGAAAGGTGTCTTTAATACACATAATGAGTTGTCATTAGGAGCACATTCTTAAATTGACAGGACTAATCTGTGTACCACATGAGCACATAGCCACTCTGTGGGAGCTAGAATTATTGTTGGTTGGTAGGGGATCAAATACTTATTTTGCTCACTGAACTGCAACTCAATTAATAAAATTTGTGTTGTGTGTTTTCCTGGATTTGTGGTTGATATTCTGCCTCTATCATTTAAAATACACCTATGATAAAAAAAATTATAGACCCTTAATTTCTTTGTAAGTGGACAAATGTAAAAAATCTGCAGGGAATCAAATAATTATTTTCCCCACTGTATATCCTGAAAAATTGAAGTGATTACATGCTTGTAGCTTCCGATTTCTTAGACTATAGAGATGATTGGCACCATTCCAGTCTCCAATCAGCTCTATGGTCAGCTGGCAGAAACAGCTGCATTATCAGGTTCCCCCAATAGCATGGGACTGCCTGAAAAGGCCATGGAAGGCAGCAGGGGAGGGAGTCATCATCTCCCGCTGCTTATAAAAGCAATCCTGCAGCTAATTAGCCACTAGGATTGATTTTACATGAAAGCCGATCGCTGGGTGAAAAAAATTATACCAGGATGATGCCTGCAGCTGTAGGCATCATCCTGGTATAACCATTGAAATTCAGTGATCTACCAGTACGTTGCTGGTCCTTGTTGGATATATATGCTATGTTCTTTTTTTTATTTTTTTTTTGTATGCAGCCCATGGGCTGAATGAAAAAAAGAGAAGAAATCTCTGCCAGAAAGTTTGTGGTATGCCCACCATTAGAATATACCGCCCTGCATTCACCCATTTCTAATGGTGGGCACACATTAGGTCGAACAGTGCCACATGTGCCAATTCCAAGATTGTACAAATGTCTAAATAGTGGCACGCTTGAATAAAAATTGTGGTACCCCATATGGAAAAAGGATGGCACCAAGTCCCAAACTATCTTGCCCCATATAGTCTGGGCATCCGGGGGCTCCATGCTCCATCTTTTCTCTCGTAAATCTGAAACTTATATGTATAGCCTGTTGCACCCTCACAGGTCTTATACATCTTGACCCCATATCTGGAATGCTTACTGGGGAGAAATTGTTTGAATGAAAAATTATGAGGGACTCATTGTCACGGGTTCCCCCACACGCCACGCCCACAGTGACTAGCTAACCGAGAAGCGCAGGTGTGGACGTGACTTGGGGTAAGAGGGAATGAAAGGGGACTTAACTTTGAATGTATAAGACCAGCCGTGATGTACTTCCACAGTCCAGACTACCTTTTGGCCACCACCGGAGGGAGCCTCCACTCCAATCCAGCTGGCTGACCACACACTGGCAGATACAAATCTTATATACAAGCTGGTGCACTGATTAGAGTTAAGGAGCAGCTTAGCAATCACACCCTTCTAGGGTCCCTCCAGCTAACCTACAACTTGGACCCTGGTGTTACTCACTTTTCCACTGTCCGCACACCCCCACACCAGACACACCACAAAAGGTAGCCTGCCACCACCCAACAGTTTATCCGCAGAACGGTCTGCTGGGACACCCCACACACACAGATCTCCGTCTGGTCGATCTGTTCCCTTTTACAATCTGAACGCAATCTGCCCACACACAGTGCAATTGCATACAGATTGGCAATGAGCTTGACCAAGCGTTTAAAGGCACTAAAATACAATACAATCTAATCTCTCCAATCTAATCTCTCCGAAGATATGAGCCGTGCTTAAATACACAGAAGTCACTTATTAATTTTAAGATTTAATATCCTGAAAGTGGGCAGTGCATAAAATGTGTACAAAATATAAAAGGTTACAAAAAATACAAGAAGACACACGAATGACTATTCACTATAAAATAAAAAGGGAATAAAACAGAATAAAACTTTACCAGGATTTACCCTGCGACTGGAGCAAGTCAGAAAAAGTCCACAATCCGTTAGTCGACCGACCAGCTCCATACGAATTACCATGTCCCAATGTCCGAGTACTCAATTTATGGGGATATGGACGTAGGCGGGACATTAGTCTTCAGCCAATTGACCCTGGGGGGTGTTCCTGTACCTGCCCACGGGATGTTCTGGGTGCTGACCTGCCCAAGTTCAATTGGACCAAGACCGGCTTGAAACACCAAGTCGGGGATTGGATTTCTGACACCAGCGCATCAGTCCGATCGCGACAGTACCAAACACTGTTCGACTGTCACACTCCAGCGCCATCTAACCATTTCCTGCATTTTCCTGGCATTCTACTTTATCCACAAATATAGTTTTCATATGTCGGTGTGACCCACAGAGTGCCCTATCAAAAGGAAGTATTTTCATTTCTCTGCAACAAATATGTTAGCTTTTATGAGAGATGAAGCATTTCCTTTGATGTATGTATATTATTTTAGAGCTCCCAATGTCAGGGAGACAATCTGCCCACAGCCATTTCCTTCAAACCAGTTTCCCCAGAAGGTGACAAAATCTTATTAGCACTTAAGTGTCACATCCAGAGGAAGCTGGAAGTCTTTTCAGATGCTAATTGATGACCACCTGTCTCTGAACACCTCATTTCCCCAATGACAAGGACTGAATATTTCTTTAATGACAAGGACTGAAACTACATCTACGATTACATTGTCATATCTTATCTACTCAAATCTGTACATTCATGTCACATGTATGTCACACTCATCAACGCAAAATTTTCTCCGGGAGAGTATAGACATCTGCAAATTTTTGGTTAAGGTGGTTTACGAGGGGCCGAATTTAGTAGAGCTGGTCAAATTAAGGGTCACTCCGAGGACGACAGAGTGTATTGTCGTTGAAATGCTTAAAACACATTATAATCTCATATATATGCCTGGCCATGGCAGCAGAGAATACGGGCATATGATGAATCGGGTCTGTGAACCAATACAACTGCAATTCGTTTTTTTCTTTTTTTAGTATTGCCCATGTTGAGGGTTAGGCCCCCCAAAAATGTAAATTCGGAAACTGTAATGGGTTTCCATGCGAATGGTCTGGCAAGGTTTGAATTTGGGTTAGCGCTAATAAATTGTTGTGCATATAAATTGCTTTGATCCACAATCAATGCATACAGATCTTCCGTGAAAAACCGCTCCAAAAAATCAAGGGGAGTAGTTGAATTTGCTGTTTCCATCTGAATTCCGGGTTGGGCAGTGAATGGGGGAAGTATGGGTGCTGCAGAATTTGTGGGCTGCCAGTCGGGATTTGCAAGCACATCCGGAAGGACACTAGGGGCTCTACGGACCTGTGTGCAAATTCTTGGTGGTTGCAGGACAATACTTGTGCTCGCCACCGCACCATCTTGTACTGCACTTATGGGACTCGCCATGTCAACAAGTGATACTGCAGTGCTGGTATGTGAAAGACCAGGATGTACTAGGCCGCTGGTGCTCGCCACTTCACCAAAACGTAGAGCAGCACTAGTACTGGCATTCTGCTGCATATGAGTGTCATCAAAATTTACCGGCAAGTGCTAGCAGAGATCCGGCCTGATTCTGCGAACACTGCGATTTTGTGTGCAATGTATCAAGTGACAGTGACCTACTGACACTGCACTTGCTGGGGGAGAGGGGGGGTAAGCGTAGGGGCTAAACTCAGGTGCTGGCAGGTGCCGGGCCTATCCCGCTAACGCTGTGTTTTTGGGACTCTATACTAATGTGAACACTGGCATAGTGCTGATCTGATCAAAGATATTAATCCATTTAGACACTATACTAGCAATGGAAGTTTGTGTATGAGTGTGTTCTTGGCAATCAAGGGGTTAAATGTGTACTGACAGGCAATCTGACACTATCTGCGAGGGGAGGGAAAACCAAGGGAGCTCGAATCACGTATATATATACGTGATTTTGCGCACCCGTGCTGCCCTAACAATTGAGCGGTCATGCAACGCTGCACCCAAATTAAATTTACGTCCTTTTTTTCCCCCACAAATTGAGCTTTTTACGGTGGTATTTGATTGTGCGGTTTTTTTTTTTTTTTGCGCTATAAACAAAAGACTGTCAATTTTGAAAAAAAAACAATATTTTGGACTTTTTGCTATTAAACATGTCCAGTAAAAAAATGTAAAAATCAAATTTCGTCATAAATTTTAGTTCAAAATGCTCCGTGTCTTTGCTAAAAAAAATCCCAATACGTGTAAATTAATTGGTTTACGTGAAAGTTATAGCATTTACAAATGGCGGTATAGATACTGGAATTTTTTTTATACTAAGAATGGTGGTGAACAGCGACTTATTGGAAGTGATCAGCGAGTTATAGCGGGACTGTGGCGGGCATTCTGACACGGAGGGGAACTAACTTGGTGTCGCTGATATCCCCAGTGACACCAATACAGTGATCAATGCTAAAAAAAAGCACTGACACTGTACTAATGGCGCTGGGCAGGAATGGGTTAACAGGAGGGGCAATCAAAAGGTTAACTGTGTGATGGGAGTGTTTTACTAGGGGGTGGGGGGGTGTTCTTCACTGTAAGCACACTGCTCTGGATGGCTGTGCTCAGCCATCCAGAGCAGTGTGTCCAAACTCACAGGGTGGAGGACTGTTTGTAAACAATGCAGCCCTCCTCCCTGTCAGTGATCGACGGTAATCATCGGGCACCGGTGGGTAATCACTGGCCGGGACCGGTGATTGACACCCAGGGCCGAGATCGGCGGCACAGGTAGGGCACCCATGCGGCTCACACGTGCCCCTACCCGGAAATGCAGAATGACGTATATATGCGTGATACTGCGCACAGGGGCCGCCTTGTAGCAGTAAATCTACTATAGGGCGGTCCTTAAGCGGTTAGGGGTAGATGCTTTCACACAACCCCAGAACTTCCATCTTTGTTATGCTTTTCCCCCATTCCAGCTGATCCCTCAAGCTCCAAGGAAGATCCAGCTAGAAAGAATGTTGGTCATCTTCATAGCGCCCTTTTGACACAAAAGAGCATGGTTCTCTATTGTCCTCCATCTGGCAGTCAAACTTTATTGGCCTCTTCCAGTCAGACAGGAGAGGAGAAACACCCACTTTTGAAAGCAAGCACTGTAAAGTATTTTCTGAAAGGCATAGTTAGTCTTTTGAAAACGTAATTTCTTGCCACACATTTTTTAAAAATGTGGGAAAGAAAATGAAAATGTTTGTATGGTGATACCACATGAGACTTTTTGGCAGTCTAACCACATAGAGAGGCCTAAATCTAAGGAGCACCTTCTGGCTTTCTAGGCGTATAAATTATACAACTACTTTCCTGAGTACTTATCACAGTTTTGGCAGCCCTGGAGCACCATGATAGTAGAAACATGAAAAATAGAGGAATGTGCCTCTAAGTGCAGTATAGGCAATTTATTAGTGAACAATAGATGAATTGCACTTACAAGAGGTCTGAAGAAGGAGCCTACTGAGCATGCTCGAAACGCGTTACTGCCCCCTTCACCTTCTACATCTCACTCTGCTCTCCAAGCCTCATCTTGATACACAGATGCGTCCTAGTTCATACTTCCTGATCCCAAGGACTGAGCTGCTGCTGGACAGCTGGATGTCTCACCTGGATCTTAACACACCACACGATGAGTCTTTTAACTATTTATCTCTCTTTTTCATGTTTACTGCATTAGAGCCTTGCTTCCACTCTTAGAAGAGCTGCCTCAGTGTCATTGCTCCCATCCATCCCTGATATCCATCTGGCACCGTTATCCTACAGCTACAGAGGTTGGGATCTAAGAAGCGAGCCCTATATAACATACTGTACATTTTATGATAGTAGAAACACCCACAACATTAACATATTTTGGAGAGCAAACACCCTGAGGAATGTTTTAAGAGCCATGGTGAGTCTTTTGAAGAATACCTGTTATTTTGCCACACATTTTTGGGAAATGTGAAAAGAAAATGAAAATTGTCTTACACAAAGCCATCAATTTAATAAGATATTTTTCACACACCGCATGAGCATGTTTAGAATTACAACCCAAAAAAACACCCGCTGGAAGGAGACATGAACAGTGCCAGTGGGGGACTGAAAAAGAGCAGGTACGGGACTGCTTTTAATAAAAAAAAAAAATAATTTGCAATCACAGTACAACACACTTTCAAGTGATTGTATACTTGCCTTTCCCCCATTCCAGCTGATCCTTCAAGCTCTAAGGAAGATCCAGCAAGACCCCTGACTCACTCCATGAGTCTTCAGTTTTGTGTTAGTGTCTGAAGGTGATGGACCTTTTCTCCTTCATGTAGAAAATCACCCTAAGCTTAAAGTTGCTCTAAAGGCTGAAGGTTTTTACCTTCATGCATTCTATGGGTGGAGAACCCAAGAAGAGGAAGAGCGGGGCTACTCTGTGCAAAACCATTTCACAGAACAGGTAAGTATGACATGCTTTGTTTTTGTTGAACCTTTAGTATCACTTTACTAGTTTATTATTTTTCTGTATTCTTTTATTTTTGAATTAATTAATCATGCCTTTGCTATCTTGGTGCAAACTCGCTAAAACCTTGGGAGCTGTACCCAGACCCCCCACTGTGGGGACAGCCTGTAAGGTTACTTTGGGCACTGGATCCTGCATGGACGCTCACCTTGGCACTTAATGCAACAAGTGAGCTGCAGGGTACTATACAAGTCCAGGGCTGTGATCTATTACTATAGAATCTGGTCCTTGAAGACCCCTGTAGGGGTATGCTCACTGTGATGGGCGAAACCTGGACTTTTGATACAGTCCAGCTTCAAGAACAGGTAAGATAGGGTCACCCTGTTTACTTCTGACTGTTACTGTAAAACAGTACTATATTTAGAATGTATTCACCTTGCAGTGTAAACTTTTCAAATTTGCCACTAAAATTCAATAACTCTGAGCTTAGTCTCAGGTGGATGACCAGGTGTCACATCATACCATTGGTAGCAAATTTTACCAATACTTTTCCCTATAACCCTTATATGGTACGCAGGTGCTTCCTCTTGCCCTTTCATCATGAGGATTCCTTACAAGACATTCTACGTCTGGGTCACTTTTGAACATGCTTACCCTATACTCTTCTTCCTATTCAGTGACAGGGGTATACCCTCACTTGTATCTATGGCAGAGTCCAGGTGGGAGTCAATGAAAAAATGCAGGCAAACATTTATTCTGCTGAAGGCAGAACCACAACCAGCATTCAAATTAACTAAAGAGGAATTCTCTGCATCTGTTGCATTTCCTCTGACAGATTAGGGCCTTAATACAGCTACTTCATCCAGATCCCCAAAACACCACACCTCTTCTACTATCATTTCTCAACCTGAGTCAACTCCAGATATGCTGGTTCTAGAGGATAGAGACACAGAAGAGAATAAAGTGGATATTGAGGCAGTATTTGAGGAAGCTGAAGATTTTTATTCCCCAGAGTGTATTATAGAGGAAACTTCATGAAATTTGTTTGCTAACATTAAAAAGCTCATTGACTCTGTCCACAAAAGCCTTGGAATTGTGCGGCCTGACTCTCCTCCGTCTCACCATGTGCCTTTGGATACAAAAAGCAAAACCATTCAAAGCATTTTCTGTTCATGAACAGAATAAGAAGTCTATGACAATTGGTTACTGAAATGATTTGCTGAAAGTTTGCTGAAATGTATTCAGTGGAAAAATAGTTTGCAAAGAAGTTATATCACTGTACCTATAAAAGATTTTCCTTCTTTCAAAGATTCTGAAGATAGAAAATGTGAGACACTTCTAAGCACTTTAATCTTGCATGCACAGTCCTGCAACCGGCTCTCTCTGCAATTTTAGTATGTCCAACAGCAGCTAACTCGAGTAGAACAATGAAAACCAACATGGCCCTTTATTTCAGGATCGTACTCAAAGCAATTGCCTTCTGATTTTTTTGTGTGGATGGCCAAGAATATGTCATGGGACACATTTCCATAATGGCTGTTGTCTCCAATCATATGCACAGAATCCTATGCCTAAAAAGCCTAAAAAGCTTGGACAGATGAAACTATCTGCAAGAGGTAAGGAAGATATCGGTTCCTTGAGGCACTTGGCCAATTGATCAAAGAGTTCACAGGTGGGAAGGGTTTACTTCCACACAGGAAGGTTCCAAAACCACCCTCCTCAGGAACCCCTAACTCATCTAATTCAGTCCTTCTGTTTGGTACAAGGCTTGGCCCACCAAGCCTTCCCTAAAGCCCTTTTTTACAATAAAGGGGCACCTTTGCTCCTAAGGGTGGGGGGCATTTGTTACATTTTGCCTCTCTAGGTCACAGATGACTTAGACTTGTGGGTCCACCTTTGGTTTCAAAGGGATACAAAACAAAGTTCAAAACTCTACTGATTCACTGCTTTCTTCTTTGAAATCAACCAAAAACTTCCCAAAGACAGCCACCATCACCTGGATCAAGGGGAATGGGCCCTTCATCCAGATGTCTTCAATCGGATATGCCAAAAATAGATGATTCCAGATGTAGACATCCTAAAATCCAGACTTAACAAC